AGGACGAAGCAAACTCCTGACCTCACCTGAGGTCCGGGACACGGAGCACAAGTGCCCAGGGCATAGCCGAGGCCCGGGCTACGTGCACAGAGCCCTCCTGGCCACTTGTTTTTTTTTTTTTTTTGAGACAGAGTTTCACTCTGTCACCCAGGCTGGAATGCAGTAGTGTGATCTCAGCTCACTGCAACCTCTGCCTCCCGGGTTCAAGTGATTCTCCTGCCTCAGACTACCAAGTAGCTGGGATTACAGGCGCCCACCACCACACCCAGCTAATTTTTGTATTTTTAGTGGAGACAGGGTTTTGCCATGTTGTCCAGGCTGGTCTCAAACTCTTGACCTCAGGTGATCTGCCCACCTTGGTCTCCCAAAGTGCTGTGAGCCACTGCGCCCGGCCCAGACACAAATATTTTAAATGTCCACAGGAGATGGAGGCATGGGGGCCTTCCAGGCCCACTAGGTCAGCAGGAGCTCAGGAAGCTCTGACCCAGCCTCTGTGCTATGGCTGGCAGCTGGCAGCCTGGCCCTCAGGGGACACAAGGGCTGCGAAACAGCCTCCTCCCACCCCTCACCGAGAGCTGCACGACAGTCCCCCAGTCTGCCTCTTTTGGCACAAAATCCATAAATGCCACAAACACCCTAGTTCTGCAGGTGAGGAAGCTAAGGAAGTCAGGTTCCAGCAGCCCAGGTGCAGGGCTCTGACGCAGGGTCAGGACAGGGACAAAGGAAAAGTCAGCCACAGAGCCAGGGACCCCACAGACATGAGGTCCCCACGGTGTGGGGGAGGCATGAGACAGAGGGTCAGGCCACAACCCCACACAGGCAAGCTCGGAGGTCAGCACCTGGCCGCCTGCCTGCACACACTCCCCGCCAAGGGCCCAGTGCCCCAGTGGTGGGTGGAGTCTGCAGTGAGCAGTGACCATAACCTTCGGAGAATTTCCAGAACCCAGAAAAGAGGGGCCACTGCCCAGTTCCCTTGTGAGCCAGGTGAAATTTGATTTCCAAACTGGATGAAGACAGAGCAAGGAAAAAAGTCTGTCTCATTTACGAACACACAGGCACAAGCCAATAAAATAAAGCGCACGGCCATCTCCATCGACGCTGAAAACACTGGAACGGTTCAACACCCACTTAAGATTGTTTTAAATGTCAGAAAGTTAGGAATAGTGACTTTCTCAGCTTGATAAAGCCTTTTTATAGCACACATCATCCTTGGCAGAGAAACTACTAGTAATTCCTGTTACAATCAAGACAAGGAAGGATGGCCACTAAGATCGCCACTATCCAAAAGCACCAGAGGCCCAGTCGCTGCAACACAGGAAGAAAAACGATGAGAGGACAAAGGGAAAGAGGTCTGCAGAGACCCCAACGGAAACCAAGACACCACTAGAACTAACAAGGAGTCAGTCAGTCAAAAATGTAACAGGAAGCATGATACTATCCATAATATTATAAAAAAGTAACTTTCAGGCCAGTGAGGTGGCTCACAATTGTAATCCCAGCATTTTGAGTGGCTGAGATAAGAGGATTGCTTGAGCCCAGGAATTTGAGACCAGCCTGGGCAACAGAGGGAGACCTTGTCTTTATGAAAAATAAAAATAAATTAGGCTGGGCGCGATGGCTCATGCCCATAATCCCAGCGCTTTGGGAGGCCGAGGCGGGTGGATCACCTGAGGCCAGGAGTTTGAGACTAGCCCGGCCGACATGGTGAAACCCCATCTCTTTTAAAAACACAAAAATTAGCCAGCGTGATGGTGAGTGCCTGTAATCCCAGCTACCTGGGAGGCTGAGGCAGGAGAATCACTGGAACCCAGGAGGCGGAGATTGCAGTGAGCTGAGATCACACCACCGCACTGCAGCCTGGGTGACAGAGCAAGACTCCTCATTTCATAAATAAATATATATATATATATATATATGCCAGGTGTGGTGGCTCACACCTGTGGTCCCAGCTGCTCGGGAGGCTGAGGTGGGGGGGATCACTTGAACCCAGGAGGCTGAGGTTGCAATGAACTGAGATCCCACCCACTCCAGCCTGGGTGACAGAGCGAGATTCTGTCTCAAAAAAATAATAATAAAAAATAAATAAATTAGCCCGGCATGGTGGTGTACATCTGTGGTCCCAGCTACTTGGGAGGCTGAGGGGAGAGGATGGCTTGAGACCAGGAGGTCAAGGCTACAGTGAACCAAGACCACACCACTGTACTCCAGCCTGGGCCACAGAGCAAGACCACCATCTCAAAAAATTTAAGAAAATTTGTGCCACTGAATGGCACGCTCTCGAACCAGCCCCCTTGTAGGCGTTTTGGAAAAAGAACACCCACGTGTGTGGCCGTGTCTGTCACTGGTGGCTCCTCCTCCCTCCAGTTCCATCACTCCCACGCCTGTCCTCCCGCAAACTGTTCTTGGACCTCGCATCCAGCTCTGTAAGTGCGGGGCGGCCACTCTCCCAGCCTGCGTGGGGCCTCGAGGGCATCAGGGTTGGCTCTGGGCCCTTCTCAGGACACTCTAAGGTTTGGGGATCACCTGGTGGCTTTGTGGACGTGTTGGGGGAGTGCAGTTGGGGTCCCTAACCTTCCCCACACACCAAGGGAGCAGAAGACATGCTTAGCATCCATGCTGCCAGCCTGAGTGCTAACCGGGAGCAATGCGTGGCCACAGGGACTGGCCTTACCCTGTCCTGAGCAGGAGCAGGCAATCAGGGGCTGGGTTTTGGGAGGAAGACCCAGCACCTCCGGGAACAAGCCCAAGGCGGAGAGGAGCCTGGGATGTTCCAAGAGCCCAAGGGACTTCCTGGGGAATCCGCAGTGATGCCTTCACTCCCATGGGGTGGACGGGTTTCGTGGTATTTCTGAAGGAGCCATCGCCCAGTGGAGGCCCAGGAAGGCGGAGCCCACACGAACCTCCCGGTGAGGACGCCCACCAAGCCGCACCTCCAAGGAAGCCCACGGGGACACTGGGAAGGCACCTGGACGGCTCGGGGCTCCAGGGGGAAAATTCCACGTCAGCTTCCAGGCAGGAGTTGATGGATGGGTGACCCATGCCACGTGCTCCCCCTCTGAGCTCTGACGTGGCTGCAGTGGGCCAGAGAGGGGCCCTGCAAGCCCAGCTTGACCCAAAGCACCAGAGACGGCGCTGGAGGCTGACGGCCAGTGGGCAGCACAGAGAAGGGGGAGGCGGACACTGGTGACGGGCAGAACCCTGAGGCACACAAGGCTCCGCACGATCAGCGTGATCCAAACGTGGGGCCAGCCGGGCGCGGTGGCTCAAGCCTGTGATCACAGCACTGTGGGGGGCCGAGGCAGGCAGATCACCGAGGTCAGGAGTTCGAGACCAGACTGGCTGACATGGTGAAACCCCATCACTACTAAAAATACAAAAATTAGCCATGCATGGTGACAGGTGCCTGTAATCCCAGCTACTCGGGAGGCTGAGGCAAGAGAATCACTTGAACTCAGGAGGGGGAGGTTGCAATGAGCCAAGATCGCACCACTGCACTCCAGCCTGGGTGACAGAGCAAGACTCTGTTTCGAAAAAACGAAAAAAAGGCAAGGCGTGGTGGCTCATACCTGTAATCCCAACACTTTAGGAGGCTGAGGTGGGTGGATCACCTAAGGTCAGGAGTTTGAGACCAGCCTGGTCAACATGGTGAAACCATGTCTCTAGTAAAAATACAAAAATTAGCCAAGCATGGTGGTGCACACCTGTAGTCCCAGCTACTCGGGAGGCTGAGGAAGGAGAATCACTTGGATCCGGGAGGTAGAGGTTGCAATGAGCTGAAAGTGTGCCACTACACTCCAGCCTGGGCAACAAGAGCGAAACTCCATCTCAAAAAAAAAAAAAGTGGGTGCCTCAGTAATGGGGGTTTAAAACCAGAAAAAAGGGCTGGAGGCGGTGGCTCACGCCTGTAATCTCAGCAGTTTGGGAGGCCAAGGTGGGCAGATGGTGAGGTCAAGAGATTGAGACCATCCTGGCCAACACGGTGAAACCCTGTCTGTACTAAAAACACAAAAAAATTAGCTGGGCATGGTGGTGTGCACCTGTAGTCCCAGCTACTCAGGAGGCTGAGGCAGGAGAATCACTTGAACTCGGGAGGTGGAGGTTGCTGTGAGCCGAGATCGCGCCATTGCACTCCAACCTGGTGACAGAGTGAGACTCTGTCTCAAAAAAAAAAAAAAAAAAAAAATCACCTCCCTGAGAAGCTCAGAACAAGCCCAGACCCTGCTCAGGTAGGAGGAGGAGCTTGATTCCAAACCAGGCTGAAGACTGGCTGATGCGTCCACCAACGGCCCCACAACTCACCCTTTCCCCGGCCATAACCCGGAGGTTACCACCCCTTTTCTGGAGATTTCTGAATCCCCCACCCCTGAACGTGCACGTAGTTAAGAGTGGATGTAAATGTGACCGCGGCCATGCCCTGAGCTGCTGCCCTCCACGCACCACCCCAGGGCAGCCCTGCTCTGTGCCCTATCACGGAGCCAACACGGAGCCGACATGGTTCCCGCCTCGTCATGGAGCCAACACGGCCTCATCCTGGAGCGGACATGGCCTCATCCCGGAACAGACACGGCCTCATCCCGGAACAGATATGGTCTCATCCAGGAACGGACAAGGCCTCATCCCGGAGCCCACACAAGCCTCATCCCAGAGCGGCACGGCCTCATCCGGGAGTGGACATGGCCTCATCCCAGAGCGGACACGGCCTCATCCGGGAGCAGACATGGCCTCATCCAGGAGCGGACACGGCCTCGTCCTGGAGCAGACACGGCCTCATGCAGGACCAGACACAGCCACCGTCTCAGTAAAGCTACTTTCTCTACCACCTGCCTACCCCTGAATCCCTTCCTGGGCAAAGCCAGAACCCTCCTGGCCGGAGCCCCACTGTCAGGTTCCTCTGCCCTGCATCACTGCCACGTCACCAGGCTGACCAGCTAAAGCCACGCAGGGCTGCCATGTCAGGAGAAAGGACGCCCCCAAGTCCCAAGGCCCAGGGCCCCTTTTACCGGCTCCGGCTCCTGCTCCTGCTCCTGCTCCTGCTCCTGCTCCTGCCGGGGATCCTGGCCCGACTTGGACTTCTTTGGCTTGGAGGGGCCTCCGGGGCTGGAGAGGGTCTTTGGCAACGTGACTGAAGATGATGTCAGAGGCCTCGTGGGCCCAGGAGGACCCCCCAGTCTCTGTCCCCCGCCTGAGAAAGGAACAAAGGGGGCAGGTGCGGGCGCCCTCGTGCTCTGCTTCTCCTGAGTGTCCTTGAAGCAGGGCCCTGAGGTGTCCGCGTCTTCCCAACGGCTCAAGTCGCCGCGGCTGAGCTCTCCAGACTCCAAGGGAAGCGAAGTGCTGGCAGCTGCCTGGCCAGCCGACACCGACGACACTGACGAGCCCAGGCTTCCTGGGGTCTTGTCCACAGGGTCGCAGCACTTCATGACAAACCTGAGTGGGGCCAGAGGACAAGGGAAGCACCTTGTGGCAGCCCTGCCTGCCGCCTGGCCTGGCTCACCCTCTCCCGCCCCTGGCTCACCCTCTCCCGCTCCCAGCTCACCCTCTCCCACCCCAAGCACCCTCCCAAGATCCACCTCCCCTCTGGGGGACACAGAGATGAGGCCAGCGCAGCCCGGCCCCCACACCCACAAAGGCCGCCAGGTGCCCTCCACGACGAGGGCCTGGGTACACCTTCCCCCCACTTGCCACGTGTCCTTTCTCCTTTCCTTTGAGATCACTTTTTTTTTTTTTTTTTTTTGAGACGGAGTCTCGCTCTGCCGCCCAGGCTGGAGTGCAGTGGCTGGATTTCAGCTCACTGTAAGCTCCGCCTCCCCGGTTCACGCCATTCTCCTGCCTCAGCCTCCTGAGTAGCTGGGACTACAGGCGCCCGCCACCTCGCCTGGCTAGTTTTTTGTATTTTTAGTAGAGATGGGGTGTCTCCGTGTTAGCCAGGATGGTCTCGATCTCCTGACCTCGTGATCCGCCCGTCTCGGCCTCCCAAAGTGCTGGGATTACAGGCTTGAGCCACCGCGCCCAGCCTTTTTTTTTTTTCAGACGGAGTCTCGCTCTGTCGCCCAGGCTGGAGTGCAGTGGCCGGATCTCAGCTCACTGCAAGTTCTGCCTCCCAGGTTTACGCCATTCTCCTGCCTCAGCCTCCCGAGTAGCTGGGACTACAGGCACCCGCCACCTCGCCCGGCTAGTTTTTTGTGTTTTTTAGTAGAGACGGGCTTTCTCCGTGTTAACCAGGATGGTCTTGATCTCCTGACCTCGTGATCCTCCCATTTCAGCCTCCCAAAGTGCTGGGATTATAGGCGTGAGCCACTGCGCCCGGCCGAGACCACTTTTTGTAGCTAAATAGACTCCTCAGCCCCAGGGGCACCGCCTTTACCTGATGGTGGCGCTGCCCCCGGTCAGGCCCAGCGACTGCAGCGTCGTGCCCCGCAGGGCAGCTTCACCCATCACCTGTGGGAGAAGCAGCCAGGACAGGTGGGCCTCACACTGGGACCCCAGAGCCCAGGGAAACCCTCCAGGCTCTGGCTCCAGGCACCACATCACCTCTGGGCACTGGCATCACCAGGACCACAGGCCACATACCCTCTCCGGCCTCCATCCTACCCACTCCCACATCTGCCCCTGCCGGTCCACACCCTCCGCAAGGCCCAGCTTGAGTCTGGTCTGCAGCCGGGGCAGGACCTGCTGCTCATGCCTGAGCGAGTCTCCCCCAGCCTGGTCTCCACAGCTGGGACCCAAACTCACTGAGGCCTGGACTGGCAGAGCTGGGCTGCAAGGAGGCGGCCCTGGAGCCAGGACCCCCTGCCTGGAGCCAGAGAGGCAGGAACGTGCTGTCACCCACGGGGGCGGGGAGGAGGCCTGGGCAAGACATGCACATCTGTGACTGAGCCGGCCGGGCCTCTGGGCCAGGGTCACCCCAGCTCCATGATGCTTGCCAGCCCTCCGCGGGCCCAGTCCCTGCTGGGAGCCCTCCCCCATCTGGTGGGTGGAGGTCAGGCCAGCAGCACCCACTCTTCAAAAGCCTCTGAGCTGAGTGGGCCCCAAAATCACAACACACGGCTTCACAGGCTCTGGTGTCTGGCCAGGGCGAGACCCACCCCACAGCCGCCTCCCCCATGGGTCACAGCGGCCCGGCTGCCTCGGGACACTGCCCCACCCTCCTCCGACTCTCCTGCTCTCAGGGCATTCCTGGGGCTCGGCTCGGGGTGGGCAGGGCTCGGGCCTGGCTGGCCACGTCCCACATGCTAGCTCTGACCTGTGAGGAAGGGGTGGAGAAGCTGCCTCCAGCAAGGGCAGAGTCAAGGGCCCAGCACAAAAGCCAAAGGGTGTAAGGGTCCCCGGGGACCCCAGCCTCAGGCCAGTGCTGGGCCTGGGTCCTGAGCCCCGTGGCTGTCCCCTCGAGGGAGGACATAGACCTGAGCCCCCCTCACAGCCCTGGCCAGGGAGCTTCCAACTAGGGATAAATGGGGGGAGTGTCCCGTCCACACCAGGGCCCCCAGGGCTCCGCCGGGACAGTGCCCCCCACCGCAGCAAAGGGCACTCAGCCAGGGTGGAAACAAAAGGCCCCTGTGAGGCCAGGGACGAGCGCTAGGAGGGTCCCGCCACGGCGGGCTTTGCTTGCGCCACGCCACACTCGGTTTTGAAAATGATCAAAACACCGAGCTAAGCAAATATTTATTAAATGAAACCACTTTTGTAACTCTTGGGCTTTGAGAGAAGCTGAAAAAACAAACAGGGCGCCGAGGGAGGTTTCGGGGCAGCCCGGGCTCCGAGGGCCGGCCACTCCCTCTTTTTCCATGAAACACGTCGTGCTTTCAAGAGCCCGAGTCTCCCGCCACTGCCCCGAGACGGCTGCGGGAGAGTGGATTTTCCAGCTGGGAAGTGGGCTGAGAGTGAGTGAGGACTGGGTGGGCAAGAGTGGGCCGCCTACCTCGTCCCTCGTGTACACGCAGACTGGGGTGGCCCCGCTGGCGTGCTGCAGGCACTCCCTGGGAGGAGAGGAAGGAAACCATCAGGTACCCCAGGGCACCTCAGCCAGTGCCACGGAGGCCCCGGGGCAGGAGACTCAGAAGGCAAAGGTGTGGGGCCCTCACCCACCCCCTACCCAGAACAGCGTCCCAGGCCCAGGCCACAGCCCTCAGCCCAGGCCCCCCTGTGCCCCCCAACTACTGGGAGGAGACACCTGACAGCTGGAGGCACTCGCAAGGAGCATGGCCTGTGGTGCGTGGCCTGGGGGCTCCCCCCACCTCCAGTCTTGGGGCTGATGGCAGGACATGAAGCCGCCGATACGGCCCAGGGACCACACAGGAGGGACAAGCAGCGCTGGCTCTGGAATGCGGCTCATGGCCACCTTCACTCAGAAGCCTGAGCGTGAGGGTCCCAAGGTCTGGGCTTTCATCTAAAGCCGCCCACTAAGAGGAGGTGCCCCTGTCTCCACTGCCTGCTGTCCTCCCTCAGTGCCGACGCCTGATGTCGCCAAAGCATGGGGGGAGGGGTGCTGCACTCCGCTCACGCCCGCTTGCCTGTGGCCGGGGAGGCCGTACTTGTAAGTCCATGTCGGACTCTGCCACCAGTGTCTTTCTGAGCCTTGCCCCCCAGGAGACACAGCTGGACCCGTGCATAAGTGGGCGTGCATATGCAGCAGGCTCCCACACAGGCCTGATGTGCACAGCAGCCTGGGAGATAGGTGTATGCCGCCACGTACAGCCCCAGAGCATGTGAACTGCTGGCGGCACCTGCTGCATAACGGGGGCTCACCTGTGTTTCCAACTCCCCACCGTGAATTCCTCCCCACTGAGAAAAACAAAAGCCTGTCTCAGGCCTTCCTTGGAGATGCCCCTCATCAGTCCCTCTCCAGGGAGGGGGCAGGTGGCCAGAGCCTAGGCAAAGGGGATGCCAGGGTTGGCCTCAGGTCATGCAGGTGCCCTGCCGGACCCTATGGCCAGTGTGGCTTGCAGGGGCTCAGGTGGGACAGGAAGACACCTGTCTTCAGGTCAAGTGGTGACCAGAACACAGGGCATAAAGATAAGGTAAGAGCTGGGCTGGAAATTGCTTACGGCAACACTCTGGGATGGAAGGGTCAGAGAACAGGGTGCCTGCAGTGTCCAGGTCGAGACACCCATGCACGTACATGCACAGAGCGGGCTCCTGGGACAGGAGCTCTCAGCCTCCGCCTGAACCCACCTGCGTGCTTACAGGGCCGCAGGGGCCCATCGTGGGCCCACCGTGCACTCGCCGTGCTCCCGACCCTGGGATCTGCTGACCTACTCGAAAGGGCAGGACTCAGCCGGGCGCGGTGGCTCCCGCCTGTAATCCCAGCACTTTGCAGGGCTGAGAAGGGCGGATCACGAGGTCAGGAGATCGAGACCATCCTGGCTAACATGGTGAAACCCTGTCTCTACTAAAAATACAAACAATTAGCCATGTGTGGTGGCGGGCACCTGTAGTCCCAGCTACTTGGGCGGCTGAGGCAGGAGAATGGTGTGAACCCGGGAGGCGGAGCTTACAGTGAGCCAAGATGGCACTACTGCGCTCCAGCCTGGGCCACAGAGCAAGACTCCGTCTCAAAAAAAAAAAAAAGTCAGGACTCGCCTCCGTGAAATGGGAACAGACCAAGCAGAAAAGCCCGAGGTGCCACACCCAGGACAGGCCCAGCCCCGCCACCTGGGGACTCGGCCATGTGTGTGGGTTTGACATGTTTTCTTTTGTTTTGTGGCCTCTATTTTTCATGTCCTCACTCCTAGGGGAGGGGCATCCCTTCCCCACCCCAGCCCCAACTCTGACAGCCTGGTTCGGCTGCAGAGGCCCCACAGGGCCGTGAACTTAGCCCCATGCTCTCCCTGGACCCACTGCCTACAATGGAGCCCCTTCCCCGATGGCCTCTGGCCTGTGGAGCGTGTGCGCACCACACACATGGCAGGTGTCCTCTGCACACAGGCTGGGACACACTCGCTGAGCTCCCATCCCACAGAAAAGCCAACAAAGGGCCTCGGATTTGCCTTCCCTCCAAATGGCTGGAGACTCGGCCCAGAGGCCCCAAGACCCAGGGCTCAGGAAAACACAAGGCCCCAAAATGCACAGAGCAGAGCCTGGACAGAGGCGGGGCGAGGCCTCAAGGAAGCACAGCCCCCAGAGCCAGGAAGGGGAACGGGGAGGGCTGAGGGTCCCGGCTCCCCAGCAGGATAGGGATGGCCAGGGGCCGGAGACGGCCACGAGGCCACTTATCTATGGCTGGGAAGCACTGGGCCGTGTGGTGGCCAGAGTCCCAACTCACAGTCCTTCCCCGGCACCGACCGCCAGCTTGGGGACCTCAAATCACAAACAGGGACAGAGCACGGCAGCGTGACATCAAACGCCAGCCGGGCTTTGATGTGCAGCTCCTCCAGAGGGATCAGATTCCCTCGTGCGGGATCTGAGGGAGCGGCTTGTGAACAAGTTGTGTGGCGGCCAGCCGAGGGGAGGGGCGGCCGGCAATCGGTTCCAGACCTTCTGCGCCGGCCCAGCGCGCAGGACGACATGGCCCGGGGGAAATTCCAGCGCCCGAGGAGACAGAGCCCCCTGTGCATGGCGAACCCACTCCCCGCCTGCCCCCACGCAGACCTCTGCAAGGCCCAATGTCTGCAGGGGCAAGACCCAGAGCCTCCCGGGGACCCCAGGCCAGGCCAAGCCACCAGACACCACGCTCTGAAGCCAGAAACGCAAGACAGGGTGCTGTTGGGCGCATCCGCGGGTGCCTGCTCGCAGCGGGGTACTGGCACACTCTCACGCACTCTGCAGCCAGCAGAGCTCCCCACTTGGCCAGGGCCAGAAGCCAGCAGGAGGGCCAGGAGGGCAGACACGCCCCTGCTGCTGGCTTCGCGGGCATATTCTTTATGCACCACAAACCCCGCCCCGGTGGGGCCCCGCTCCAGCAAGGCGCGGCTGTGTGCTGGGGACAAGGCAGTGAGTCTGGAGCCCTCCGTGTTCATGTCCTGTCTGGGTCTGACAAAGCCAGGTGCAAACACAGGTGCTGACGAGAGCCTAGGCAGCAGCACGCGCCCTGCCGGGAACAGAAGCCCGCAGAGCTGTGGCTGCAGGCCAGGAGCCACTCGGCTCGGGGAGGCCCGCAGAGGGCACCACCCACCACACGACAGCCCAGCCGAGAAGTGGGCTGGACAGAGCCTGGGAGAGCCTCAGGGGAAGGAGGCAGCCTCCGGCCGTCCCAACCCAGCCAGGTCCGGACAGGGATGGACAAGGATGAATAGGGATGAACAGGGATGAACAGGGACGGACAGGGATGGACAGGGATGGGCCCCAGAGCTCTGAGCTGGCCTGGCAGCATGCATAGACCCACCCTGAGTGTGGCCACAGGCCGGCGCTCCACCTGGCAGAGCCCTGTTCTCACCAGCAGCCCCTCCCTACAGCCCAGCACACCCACAGGGCCGCAGAAATCACCCGGCTTTCCTGGAGCCACAGCTTTACCTACAGGAGGAGGAACGGGCTGAGATGCACTCAGCCAGACCCCAAGCACTGAGTCAAGGCTGGGAGCAGAGGGCTGGGCACCTGGGAAGAGATCCAGCCGGGGGCCGGGCACACTGGGGAGCCGCTCCCACCTGGAGTGCCCACGCCAGCACAGCCCGGGGGCACCTCTGAGAGAGGGCAAATCCCCTCCACGGCCGAGCTCATGAATCTGACATTTACAGAAAGCCACGCTGCTCCCTCACGGTCTTCAGATGGAAAGCGGCTCAGCTGCTGTGTGAGCTCCCTCGGCTCACCCTTGGTCACCCCCAACAGTCCCCACTTCTCTTCCTGCCCAGCAGCTCAGCATGGTCCATCCACACCCCTGCCTTTCACCACTGCTCCATGGCAACCAGGTCCCTACAGGACTTAGGATTCGAGCTACGGGACTCGCTCGCCTGCCCCCGTGGACTGCCCAGACGTGCCACAGCACCCCCCGAGTCGCAGTATGACCTCCCGGGGCTCGTGCCTGCTGGCTCTAAACCCACGGAGAGAAACTCCTCATAGGAAATCCTTTAGCATTAACAACCTGTACCCCAGCAAAGACGCTGGCCAGAAAGGTGCTCCCTTTCCTTCTCCGGGTGCCTCCAGGAGGGCCCGTAGGCAATGAAATCCTCGTTTCCATCTCATGCGTCTCCTATCACGGAAGGCACACTCCCCATCATAAAGATCCCAAACTCAGACACAGGCCCACCAGGCAGGTGGAAACAGCGTCCCCCAGAGCTCAGCGTGGCTGTTCACACCCCTCTGTTGGGCAGAACCTTCAGACTACAGGGAAAATGGGAAAGCTTGAAGCCAGCAGCGTGCAGCCTACGTCTCCTGCCTCCCTGCGGCAGAGCCTGAGAGGCAGAGTGGAGGAGCGGCCAGTCCACGAGGACCCAGCCCAGACTGAGATGCTCCAAGTGCACAGTACACGCAGGTCTCAAGGACTTTGCACAACAAAAGCAGGAGACAGCTTGCTTTTCTACTGACTACGTGTCCAGGAAGTCGTATTTTGGGTATACTGAGTTAATTACATATATTACTAAACCTAATGACACCTGTTTTTATTTCTTCTTTAATGCGGTAACAAGAAAAAGTGAGTCACTGGCCAGGTGCGGTGGCTCACGCCTGTAATCCCAGCACTTTGGGAGGCCGGGGTGGGGTAGATCACCTGAGGTCTAGAGTTCCAGACAAGCCTGGCCAACATGGTGAAACTCCGTCTCTAAAAAAATACGAAGACTAGCCCAGCATGATGGCGCGCACCAGTAATCCCAGCTACTCGGGTGGCTGAGGCAGGAGAATTGCTTGAACCCGGGAGGCGGAGACTACAGTGAGCCAAGATGGCACCACTGCACTCCAGCCTGGGTGAAAGAAAAGAAAACGTGAGTCACCTCCGTGGCTGACACGTGTGGCTCACTGGCATCCCCAAGGCCCCTGCTGCTCGAGTCGCTGGTCAGGCCAGGGCTGCGTGCTATGGTGACACCCTTGCAGTGGAGCTGCGACCTTTCAAACGTGGCGGTCTCCATCCAAGGAAATCACCCAGGGGTCCCCAAATGCACAAAGCAGGCTCTGTCCCAGGGCAACTCCTGGGCAGGCTACAGGCCTACAGCCCCCAGCCTTGGAACACCCCTTCCAAGCACAGCGCTTACACTGTCCCTGGACTCAGACCTCCTCCGAAACACACGAAGGGAGAAACAACAGCTTCCCACCTGTCCCACTCTGCGAACACCTGGAGTTCCCAAGGCCTCCCCAAGCCTCCTGGGCCAGTGCAGGAACACTAGGCACAAGAGAGTCTTCCTCCCTCATGCAGACCTGCTGGGGACCAGCTTCCAGCACAGAGCCCACAGGGCACTCCACCCTCACCGTGGGGCTGGCAACGCCAGTGCCACCCACCACGAAACCTCGTCCACATCCTGCTCCATGGTTAGCAAACTCCAGCTTCTGGGATGAAGCTTGCGTCTGAGCTTTTAGAAATGTATTTATTTATTATTTATTTATTTTTGAGACGAAGTCTCAGTCTGTCACCCAGGCTAGAATGCAGTGGTGTGATGTCGGCTCACTGCAACCTCCACCTCCTGGGTTCAAGTGCTTCTCCTGCCTTAACTTCCCGAGTAGCTGGGATTGCAGGCACCTGCCACCACACCTGGCTAATTTTTGTACTTTTAGTAGAGACAGGGTTTCACCATGTTGGCCAGGCTGGTCTCAAACTCCTGACCTCAGGTGATCTGCCTGCCTCAGCCTCCCAAAGTGCTGGGATTACACGTGAGAGCCGCCATGCCCGTCCCAGAGATAAAATGTAAAGAAACCCTGTCTTAAATTCCACCTCTGGAATTTAGCCCACGGGAGGAGCTGGGGTGGGTGACCAGGTGCAAAGGCCTCCGGCTGTAGGCTCTGCTCCAGCCCTGCCCGGGATGCCCTGAGACACAGTCAGACACCCCGCAACACCCACATGATGGAACAGCATGGCTGTGAGGAGTGACAGGTGCGGGACCCTCCAGGAAGACGTCCACAGCAGATTCACCAGCAATAAGAGTCAGCCACATATCACTCTGCACCCCAGGCATGAGTGTTCACCAAATGAGATGTACGTGCAGACACACCCGGAGACAGACCCACACCGCCACGCAGACCAGGGCCGCAGGCTGAGGGCTCCGGGCTTCACTACCAATGGCCCCGCCACCTCCTGCTGTCCTGGTTTCTCAAAAGAGCTGCCCCACTTGCTCCAGGTTTGTTTTTTTGTTTTTTTTTTTTTTTGAGATGGAGTCTCGCTCCGTTGCCCAGGCTGGAGTGCAGCGGCACAATCTTGGCTTACTGAAATCTCTGCCTCCTGGGTTCAAGCAATTCTTCTGCCTCAGCCTCCTGAGTAGCTGGGACTATAGGCGCCCACCACCACGCCTATCTAATTTTTGTATTTTTAGTAGAGACGGGGTTTCACCATATTGGCCAGGCTGGTCTCGAACTCCCGACCTCATGATCTGCTCACCTCAGCCTCACAAAGTGCTGCGATTACAGGGGTGAGCCACTGCGCCCGGCCCTGTTGTTTCTTTTTACTGTTTTTTTTTTTTTTTTTTTTTTTTTTTTTTGAGACGGAGTTTTGCTCTTGTTGCCCAGGCTGGAGTGCAGTGGTGCAATCTCAGCTTGCTGCAACCTCCTCTAAAGCGCCCAAACCCACCCCCATAGCCACCACCAAAGCCACCTCCAGAACCACCACGCCCGGGCACACCTGTTGCTTCTTAAACTAAGTTTCACACGAGGTTTACAAAGTCTGTTGAAGAGGCTTATGCTACCGCAATGCCCACCCCATCTCTCCAGACACCCTCGGGCTCCTTCCCAGTGGCAGCCCCGGGCCACTCTGGGCCATTTCCTCACCTCCATCCCCATCTGAGGACTGACAGCAAAGCCAGGGAGGACGGCCCTCACCAAGCACCCATGCCCGTGGGAGCACTGGATTCTGCTCACGCCCGGGGCACCGCCCGGCCCGGGGACATTTCCTTGAGGACGTTCATCTTTCCTGACTTCTGTTCCCCATGCTGTTTGGTTTTCTTCTCGCCCTCTGCCACTATTCTCTCAGGAAGCAGCACAGAGCCAGGGCACCGGGATCCCCACTCCTCACCCAGTGCCCACACAGCGCCTGGGGTCACTGCCTCCCTGCCTGGCGCCACTCCTGCCTCGAGTTCCGCTCACCCCTGCCCGAGGCTTTGCTTTTCTCTTAGGCTCTGTCACCTCCTGCCTCGGGTCCCGCTCACCCCTGCCTGTGGCTTCGGCTTTGCTCTTAGGCTCCATCACTGTTGTTGGAGTTGTGTTTTGGAGGGAAAATTCTGTGCTTGTCCTTAACCCGCTGCCATCCGCAGAGGTCTCCATTCACCCCAACACCTGACAGGATAGCTTCCATCCCCATGACCACTGAGACCCAACCTGCAGACCTCAGTGCCCTCACCCATGAGCGCAACACCTGTGCCACACAGCGGGAGCAGGCCCGGCCCTGGGGCCACCAGGAGCGCCCGACACACAGCCACCTTCCCAGTGTGGTGCTACTGTCAGACTGGAGCAGGCCTGGCCCTGGCCACCTTCCCAGCGCCCGACGCACAGCCACCTTCCCAGCGCCCGACGCACAGTCACCTTCCCAGCCCCTGACACACAGCCACCTTCCCAGCGCCCGACGCACAGCCACCTTCCCAGCGCCGCCACCTTCCCAGCGCCCGACGCACAGTCACCTTCCCCCAGCTCCCTGACGCACAGTCACACAGCCACCTTCCCAGCACCCGACGACAGTCATCTTCCCAGCGCCCGCGACGCACATCCACCTTCCCAGCGCCCGACGCACATCCACCTTCCAGCACCCGACGCACAAGTCACCTTTCCCAGCCCCTGACGCACAGTCACCTTCCCGCTCCTGACGACAGTCACACAGCCATCTCTCCCAGCGCCCCGACGCACAGTCACCTCTCCCAGCCCGACGATAGTCACCTTCCCAGCCCTGACGCACAGTCACACAGCCACCTTCCTAGCCGCCCCAACGCACAGTCACCTTCCCAGCGCCTGGACGTGACAGCCACCTCTCCCAGCCCGACGCACAGACACCTTCCCAGCGCCCGACGCACAGTCACCTTCCCAGCCCGACGCACAGTCACACAGCCACCTTCCCAGTGCCCGACGCATGTCGCTCCCAGCTACCGACGCACAGTCACCTTCCCAGCGCCCGACGCACAGTCACCTTCCCAGCCCGACGCACAGTCACACAGCCACCTTCCCAGCGCCCGACACACAGTCACCTTCCCCAGCCCCGACGCACAGTCACACAGCCACCTTCCCAGCGCCCGACGCACAGCCACCTTCCCAGCGCCCGACGCACAGTCACCTTCCCAGCGCCCGACGCACAGTCACCTTCCCAGCCCGACGCACAGTCACACAGCCACCTTCCCAGCGCCCGACACACAGTCACCTTCCCAGCCCCCGACGCACAGTCACACAGCCACCTTCCCAGCGCCCGACGCACAGTAACCCTCCCAGCGCCCGACGCACAGCCACCTTCCCAGCGCCCGACGCAGTCACCTTCCCAGCGCCTGACGCACAGCCACCTTCCCACAGGCCCCACGCTCGGTCCTCAAGACATGAGCTCACTCCATCCACACACCAGCTGGGGCACAGGTGAGGAAACCGAGGCCCAGGGAGGGTGAGAACCTCCCAGGCTCACAGCAAACCCAAGCCCTGAGTCCTTCCATTCTGCTGGCTGAGCCTTTTACTGTGGACCAAGACTTCCAGCCACAATGAATAGACCCAAATTGACAAAGCGCCCATTTTTACACATTCAGGAACAACGTTTAAACCATTAAGCGACAGATAGAAACTGATACACACCAATTACTTATTTTTATTTATTTATTTATTTTTGAGACAGAGTCTTGTTCTGTCACTCAGGCTGGAATGCAGTGGTATGATCTCAGCTCACTGCTACCTCCACCTCCCGGGCTCAAGTGACCCTCCCACCTCAGCCTCCGGGGTAGCTGGGACCACAGGCACGCACCTGGCCTAACATTGCTATTTTTGGTAGAGAAGGGGTTTCACTATGTTGCCAAGGCTGGTCTCGAACTCATGAGCTCAAGCGATCTGCCAGCCTCGACCTCCTGGAGTGCTGGGATTACAGGTGTCAGCCACTGTGCCCAGCCAGCCAATTACTATTAAGAAGATTTTCTGGCCAGGCGCGGTGGCTCAAGCCTGTAATCCCAGCACTTGGGAAGCCAAGATGGGCGGATCACGAGGTCAGGAGATCGAGACCACCCTGGCTAACATGGTGAAACCCCATCTCTACTAAAAAATACAAAAACTAGCCGGGCGTGGTGGTGGGCGCCTGTAGTCCCAGCTACTCCGGAGGCTGAGACAGGAGAATGGCGTGAACCCGGGAGGCGGAGCTTGCAGTGAGCCGAGATCACGCCACTGCACTCCAGCCTGGGTGACAAAGAGAGACTCCACTTCAAAAAAAAAAAAAAAAAAAAAAGAAGATTTTCTGGTGGAGCACAGGAGCTCACGCCTGTAATCCCAACAGTTTGGGCGGCTGAGATGGATGGGAGGATCGCTTGAGCCCGTGGGTTCAAGAGCAGCCTAAGCGACCAACACAGTGAGACCCTGCCTCTTAAAAAAAAAGACTTTATGAGCCCATCCAGGGGAATCAAGCACAGGGAGCCCGGTCCCCAGCACCAAACGTCTCCCCTTAGCGCTCACCAGGCCCCCACAATGACAGAAGCACATCCCTGCTCTTCTAGGAGGGCAAGGCTGGGCCACTGGGCCCATGAAGCTCAGAATGATGAGCCGTGACCGGCCCATCCCCCCGAGGCTGCCCTCCTCTACCGAGGAGTGCAAAGTGCCCAGAGGCACCACAGGCCAGCACAGAGCTTGGGGGTTCAGCTCTGGACCAGACCCAGTAACCACAACAGCTTTCCCACCAAACGGGGTAGGGAAGAGCCCACTGGCCCACTGAGGCTCACCTGGTCTGTGCAAAATGGCTGAGAAGCTCCCAGAGGCTCTGGCCTGAACAGAAAGAGTCCTGCAGCCTGGAGCCATCGTCCAGCTGCAGAGCGATGCGAACCTGGAGAGTACCAGATGTGAGAAACTTCCTTAGGAAGAAAGGCAACCATTCCCTCTAAACCCCAGACTGATTCTCCAGATGCAGAGACGGCGACTGCCCCTGCCCCAGCCTCCGGGGAGAGGCTGACCCCACGGAGAAGGCTGCCCTCCTGTGTACTCTGGAGTGAGGGCCATGGAGGCTCCCTGGCAGGGCTGCACCAGCACGTGTCTGGGCATGCGTGTGTGCGGGTGTGTGTGAGGGTGTGTCCAGGTGTGTGTGCATGTGTGTGCGAGGGTGTGTGGTGTATGTGCATGTGTGTGAGTGTGTGCAGGTGTGTAGGTGTGCGGGGGTGTGTGAGCACGTGTGTGTGGGTGTGTACAGGTGTGTGTGCAGATGTGTCTGGAGGTATGTGTGCAGGTGTGTGTGTGTGGATGGGTGTGTGGGTATGCAGGTGTGTCCATGTCTGTGTGCCGCTGTGTGCAGGTGTGTGTGCGTGTGTGGTGTGTGGCGGTGTGTGCATGCGTGTACACAGGTGTGTGCATGTTTCTGTGGGTGGGTGGTGTGTGCGGGTGTGTGTAGGAGTATGGGTGTGTGCATGTTTGTGTGCAGGTGTGTGGGTGTGTGGATGTGTGTGTGCAGGTGTGTGTGTAGGTGTGCAGGTGTGGGGGGTGTGTGCACGCACACGTTTGTGTGAGGTGTGTGTGCAGGTATGTGCAGGCGCCACAGGAGGGAAGTGTGTTGGAGACACTCCTCGTGTCCCAGGGGAGGCTTCAAAAGATTGCAGCTCCACAGAAACTGACTGCAGCCTCAGGAGACACCCTGAGCCAAGCTGCTCCCAGATTCCTGACACTCAGAAACCACATGAGAAGGTAAATGTTTGCGATGTCTTTTTTTTTTTTTTTGGAGACAGAGGCTCACTCTGTCGCCAGACTGGAGTGCAGTGGAGCGATCTCAGTTCACTACAACTCCGCCTCCCAGGTTTAAGCGATTCCCCTGCCTCAGCCTCTCAAGTAGCTGGGATTACAGGTGTGTGCCACCACATCCAGCTGCTTTTTGTATTTTTAGTAAAAACAGGGTTTCACCATGTTGGCCAGGATGGTCTCAATTTCTTGACCTCATGATCCCCCTGCCTCGGCCTCCCAAAGTGCTGGGATTACAGGATTACAGCTGAGCCACCGCGCCCGATCCACTATGTCTTAACATCCCAATTTTTTTTTTTTTTCTTGAGATGGAGTCTTGCTTTGTCACCCAGGCTGGAGTGCAGTGGCGCGATCTCGGCTCACTGCAAGCTCCGCCTCCTGGGTTCACGCCATTCTCCTGCCTCAGCCTCCTAAGTAGCTGGGACTACAGGCACCTGCCACCTCGCCTGGCTAGTTTTTGCATTTTTAGTAGAGACAGGGTTTCATTATGTTGACCAGGCTGGTCCCAAAGTCTTGACCTCAGGTGATCTGCCCACCTCGGCCTCCCAAACTGCCCAGATCACAGGCTGCCCTTGCGGCATCCATGCAGTGCTTTGGGCTCTAACATTCTGGGCAATTCTATGAGCAGGTGGTCAGGCTGGTGGGTGAATGCTGCTGACACCCCAAGCCAGGGAGGGCACAACTGACCCCACCAGAAAGCAAGTAAAACTTCCACACGAAGAATGATGCGGGCCGGGTGCGGGGGCCCATGCCTGCAATCCTTCGGGAGCACTTTAGGAGGCCGAGGCAGGTGGATCACGAAGTCAGCAGTTCCAGACCAGCCTGGCCAACATGGTGAAACCCTGTCTCTACTAAAAATATAAAAGTTAGCTGGGCACGGTGACAGACACCTGTAATCCCAGCTACTCGGGAGGTTGAGGCAGGAGAATCACTTGAGCCCAGGAGGCGGAGGTTGCATGAGCCGAGATTCTATCATCACACTCCAGCGTGGGTGACAGAGGAAGACTCTGTTTCAGAAAAAAACAAAAAACAAAAAACAAAACGGTGCGGGTGGATCATGAGGTCAGGAGATCGAGACCATCCTGGCTAACACGGTGAAACCCCGTCTCTGCTAAAAATACAAAAAAATTAGCAGCGCGTGGTGGCAGGTGCCTGTAGTCCCAGCTACTCGGGAGGCTGAGGCAGGAGAACAGCGTGAACCTGGGAGGCGGAGCTTGCAGTGAGCCAAGGTTGCACCACTGCACTCCAGCCTGGGCGACAGAGCGAGACTCCGTCTCAAAAAAAAAACATGAAATGCTCATTTTCAGTCGCTAGTTATCAAAACACAGAAAGTTGCTTGGACTCAACCCAGGGAAGGCAGAATTGGTGCTAAGACTCATGTCCCTCCTTCCCCAGCACCCCCGACCACCTCCCATCCCCGGCCAGCTGAACGATTCTGTGCTCCACAGTCAGTCTCCCCCAGAGCACAGCCCACCATATTCTCAGGCCCCTCACGGCTCCGGGAAGCAGGCACCATCTCCAGCTTGGCATTGTTGGGTAGGTTGGCGAATCTCCACTGCAGAGAAAGGTCGAGCACACTCCTCTGAAACCTGCAAGATAGACCAGAGCCCACTCACTGCCCTGCAGACCCTGATGCGCCCTGCCATCCGTGTCCCGCCATCCATGTCCCGCCATCCGTGTCCCGCCATCCATGTCCCGCCATCCATGTCCTATGGCAGCTCCCCAACAGCAGGACGTCGTGACCTGCAGAGGCACAAGGCGGGTCCCTGATCACATGGGGCCTCCTGCAAGCAGAAGGGAGCCGGGAAAAGGGAGAAGTGGGCCTTGGGGCGCGCCGAGGGGTTTGGTCCTTCAGAGTCTGGGGTGCTGACAGCTCCAGTGCAGACGCTTGGAAAACAGAGAGAGAACGACTGGGGCGTGAACGCTGCTGCACTCGCAGATGCAGGGGTATCACAGCGTCTGTGTGGCTGGAGCCACTACAGAAAACCCAGCTGCCCAGGCGCAGTGGCTCACGCCTATAATCCCAGCACTTTGGGAGGCCGAGGAGGGTGGATCACCGAGGTCGGGAATTTGAGACTAGCCTGGCCAACATGGTGAAACCCCGTCTCTACTAAAAATACTAAAAAAAAGCCAGGCATGGTGGCTCAGGCCTGTAATCCCAGCTACTCGGGAGGCTGAGGCAGGAGAATCGCTTGAACCCAGGAGGCAGAGGCTGCAGTAAGCCGAGATTGTGCCACTGCACTCCAGCCTGGGCAACAAGAGCAAAACTCCGTCTCAAAAAAAGAAATCTGAATATACTCAAAGTGGTTGGCCCCACTTTGGAAACGCAAGCTGCTGTTGAAGATAACTAGTGAAGAGAGTTTAGACAGCCTGGGGGCATCTGGAAGAATTAAGAGAGAACAAACTTTGCTATCAATCTTCAATACTGGCCAGAAAGTGACTCTGGAAATTGCCACATGAAATCTCTATGGCAAGACAGGATAGCAGATCGGGGGGAACCCGAAGGCAGGCGGGCTGGGAGCCTTGGAGAGGAGGGCACGGGGCTGCATTCCTCTGCACTGGCTGTGCTTTGTAAGCAAGCGGTACCATTAGCAGAGGAAAAGGAGACCTGAAAACATGGCCATGGTGCTGCAGGACCTGCCTCAAAATCGCACTCACTGGTTCCCACCAGACACCACCACACAGACCATGGGCAGGTGAGCAATCAGAAGTAACAATGGGCCAGGCATGGTGGCTCATGCCTGTAATCCCAGCAATTTGGGAGGCCAAGACGGGCGGATCACTTGAGGTCAGGAGTTTGAGAGCAGTCTGGCCAATGTGGTGAAATCCCATCTCTACTAAAAATACAAAAATTAGCCAAGCGTGGCAGTGCACGCTTGTAGTCCCAGCTACTCGGGAGGCTGAGGTGGGAGAAGTGCTTCAAGCCAGGAGGCAGGGGTTGTAGTGGGCCGAGATTGTGCCATTCCACTCCAGCCTGAGTGACAGAGCGAGACTCCATCTCAAAAAAAAAAAAAAAAAAAAAA